GTGCACCCTCATGGCAGCTTCCTCCTGGATTCTTGGCTCCCTTGATGGTATAATTGTCATCATAGTTACAATGTCCTTCCCATACTGTGGAGGTCGGGAAATACCCCACTTTTTCTGTGATACCCCTGCCCTGCTCTCACTTTCATGTGCTGACACCAGGATATTTGAAAAATTGATGTTTTCCTGCTGTGTGATCATGCTCGTCTTCCCCCTAGCAATCATCATGGCTTCCTACACTCGTGTAATCCTGGCTGTCATCCGCATGGCATCCGGGGAGGGGCCCTACAAAGCTTTTGCCACCTGCTCCTCGCACCTCCTGGTGGTGGGCATGTACTACGGAGCAGCGATGTTCATCTACATGAGGCCCATGTCTGCGCGGTCCCCCACCAGGGACAAGATGGTGTCGGCCTTCTACACCATCCTCATGCCCATGCTGAACCCCCTCATCTACAGCCTGCGCAACAAAGAAGTGAGCAGAGCTTGGATGAAGGTGCTGGGGAGGGGCAAATCCTCAGAGCAGTTGGCCTAATTGCCATTGCTGTCGGATCTGCTTACTGATTAAATTTCCAAATACAACCAATTCAAATCAATATTCTAAGTATATTATTACTCGCAATGAAAGTGTGGTAACCTACAAAAAATGTTTAAAAAATGAAAAAAACATAAAAGTTAGATTATCAATAAATATTTGTGTCCACAATAAGTGGAAAAAATATAAAGATTGTCCAAAAATCCCTAAGTACATCATTTCTTCCCTTCACACTGTCTTGTTCTCTGGTGAGTTTCTAATGCACAGCAATTTAACTTTTAACAGCCCACAACGTACATTAATATGAATTTATTGGTGAAAATGATGAACTTTGAGAACACAGAAAGCAGCAAATTGCATGGAAAGTTATAAGCCTTCTTATATGATTATGAGTAATGCTTATTAAATTGAGCTGCACCCTGGGAGACCCTGCTCTCCTTGCTGAGCTTTTTCATCGTTTTCAGCATATTTCCCTTTGCTTGGCACATTAGGCTTGCACACGTGCACAAGTGTCCTGGGAAAATAAATATGAATCTAGACTTTCCACATCAAGGTTTTCTCATCATTATTTGGATCAAACATGCAAAATTGCATGGAATGTGATCTTTGTCAAAAGTCTGAATTTCCTGTAGCCCAGAAGCATGCTATGGATTGATTATGTGATACCAATATGTATATGTACCAGTGATGTTAGTCATATAAAGTATCAGTTAATTATGGAGATTTTATATAGTTGCTATAACATACATTTGAACTGCTCTTCTCAATCTTTGTCATAACTCATACACTATGTTCGTTTTGTTTTGTTTCATTACAATTTCCACAATCTTGACCTTCCAAAGAGCAACTGTTTAAATGTGCTAGTTCGTATGCATGTAAGGGCCAGCCATGTCTCAACTCTGTCTTGTGCTCAAGGCTTTACAGCATAACACTCTAGTACTGCATGTAATGTACAGGTCTTTCTGTGTTGTTTAGATTTTTCTCTGCTTTTCCCATTTATGTTTGTTCATGCTGCTAAATGTTGACTCATGTGGAAACTGTGGGTAAAAACTACTGCTTAATGGCTAACATAAAATATTCTAGAATTCAGTCTAACAGTTCACTTATATTATTTATTACAAATTGTGAATAAGGCAGTGGTCATGGATATATTTGTTGTACAGAATTTAGTGAGGATTTGTTAAAAAGATAACGACCATTGATGATATAATTCATAGGTTGAAAAGACAGTGGTTCTGCTATATCTCATGTATAAGCACAAGGAAATTGTTAAAATACGTATGAAGCAGGAGAAAGACAAATGAGGAAGGGAGTGCAGGTGAAAACATGGGTAGAAACTGACAAGGATATCTGAATTGGAGTGAGGAGAAGGACATGATGAATTCAATCATTGCCAGTTTTGGTTAAAGTCTTGTAGAAATACAAGAAGATGCTTCTAGTGTGTTCCTAAAAATAAAATGTTGTTCAAGTGAAATGTGAGGCAAGATCTTATACTTTCAAAAGATATACCTAAGAAGGTGATATTTAGAAACACAGGTAGAGATACAAACATTTATGAAGTATAGATATTAAGGAACAGTGCTGTTTTCACAATAAGAGTCAACTCTGCATGGAATGTGTATGTGTACTACATGTGAGTATGTAATAAATATATATGGATTCTATGTACATATATTTTCAATTTTCTCCAAAATATACAGACTGGAAAAATGAACAGAAAGAACAATTTATAAATGTAGACAAATAACTTATTTTTTAGTTAGTTTGTTTCTGTATTTAGGGCAGGGTCTACGAAGTATTCAGGGTCTCACTACACAGATCGGACTCGTACTGATTCTCCTGTTTACAACCTCACAAGTGCTGGGATTGCAGGTGCGCGCCACTATGCCCAGTGTTCATCACCACCTCAGTGTGCCCCATGGGTGGGACTGGCACAGCACACGAGGATTGAACCCCAGCCACTGAGCTCTGCCTAAGCAGGCGCATTAGTCCGCTGAGCTATCAGGCCTGCCCAGGTAATTTAAAAGACTATTTTGTAATAAATATTTTGGCCAATTAGTCTGTGTGTTAATCTGTATTTATGATAATTAACTTCATAGTGACATTAGAAAAGAAATTTAAATGAAGCTGGCATAATGAAAAAGAGATGAAAGGAAGAGGAGATATTATGTATCTTCTGTCCATAAATGTTATTTACTGAAAAGGTGTACATATTCAAATTACAAAATGAAATGTCAAATTATTCCTATTTGAAAATCATGAGATTTTTGACACAGAATACACTAAACCTACTGGGAAAACTTTATTTCTCATAAATAAATTCAGTGAAGTTGTAGAATATAAGATCAATGTAAAGTTCAATAATTGTTCTATACAACAATAATGAAATCAAACTGGAAAATGAGTCTCATCAATATTCAAAATTTAACCAAGTAAAAGAATGCATCAATAAAAATCAGAAGACAGATCTGACACTTGCAGAGCAAGGGACCATGAGGAAGGGACCGCCTCCTCCTGGGCATCAACAACCCTGGAGCATGTCAGAGGCCCTGAGCATGATGTTTTCATAAAGGCATAACTTCTGGGAAAATCAATGAAAGTTTACACACTAATAATTAACTTAATGGCCAGACAATGGACCTGCATGAGTGCTAAATACCTTGAAATACAACCAGTGAAAGGAGGTGGTGAAAAGGCCAAAAAGTATCCAAAAATATAAGGAAATCCTTAATAAGATGCTAAATTTATCCAGTGCAGGAAGAACTAGGCACTGGGCAACCAGCTCGGTCAGTGGAGCTCAGCTGTCTCACTCCTCTCCCTAAATGACATAACAGGACCCAAGGAGAATGATGACCATACAGCATGACCCAAACAAAGATGGACATGGTGGACTGCTGAATTTTTTTTTAAATTTGGGAAACTTTTAAAAATCACTCAAAGTTTGGCAAAATTCCCTAACTAAAATTGAAGATAGACATTTAGACCTTGAAGACAGGTTGGCAGCTAGCAATCACAGAAGAAAAGATTTATTTAAAAATAAAAAAAAAATGGAAATAAGATTTGAAGACCTATAAGATGATATAAAGTAAAACAACATAAGACTGATAGGGTTTTTTTTTTTGCCACATGTCCCACAAGAATGAAGAGCATTCTTAGCAATCAGACTGTCCACATTCTAGAAAATGTCAATACCACTCTGAAAGGACACACAGTTATTGTGTAGGGCCCCAGAAGAACCCTTCAGAGAGACTTCAAACACATCAATGTGGAACTCAATCTCTTGGGAAGGAAAAGAAGAGGCTCCTGGTTAACAGAAGGTGGGGAAACAGGAAGGAGTTGGCGACTGTCCGCACTATCTGTAGCCATGTACAGAACATGACCAAGGGGGTCACGGTGGGCTTCCTTTACAAGACGAAGCCTTTGTGTGCTCACTTCCCCATCAACGTCGTTATCCAGGAGAATGGGTCTCTTGTCGAAATCTGGAATTTCTTGGTTGAAAAATACATACGCCGAGTTCATATGAGGGCAGGTGTTGCTTGCTCAGTATCTCAAGCCCAAAAAGATGAGGTAATCCTTGAAGGAAGTGACATTGAGCTTGTTTCAAATTCAGCTGCTTTGATTCAGCACACCACAACAGTCAAAAACAAGGATATCAGTATATTTTTGGATCGTATCTGTGATTCCGAAAAGTGAACAGGTCAGTGGGCAGATGAGTAGGATCCAAGAGCCACAGAAGCAATCTTCTGGGTTGTACAACCAATCTGTGATATTTGGATGAGACAATAAAATATCTTTATTAAAGAAAAAAGACTGATAGATATCAAAGAAAAAGCAAGTGTCATTACAAATAACTTAGAAAAACACTATTTACACAAGAAATAGCACTCAGTATCCCAAATAGAGGAACAGAATCCTACACAGAGATAAATAAGGCATTTATTATCTTATTAGAAACAGCCATAGCCAAAATAAAACTACACCCAGACATATAATAATTGAGATACCAGAAATTCTGTACAAAAAAGGAAGAATCAAAGCTGTTTGAGAAAATAAAAAGGATCAACTATAAAGTAAAACCCATGAAACTCATGGCCAATCTGTAAACACAAACCTTCAAGTCAATCAGACCATGAAGTGAAGTATTTCAAGTCCTGATAGTAAACAACTTCCACCCCAGATTGACATTCCTTCCAAAACTGAATTAATGACAATGATTCCAAGAGCAACATAATAGAACCTCACCACACAGGACAAGCAACTAAATAGAAAGGAAAAGCTAGGAACAAACATCAGGAAAATAACAGAGCAAGAGGAAGACAATAAATAGCATTTATAACCACCAGTGCAAATGACTTCAATTCAAAAAGAAAACAAAAAAGAAAGAAACACATTGGCAAACTGGATAATGAAATAAGATCAAATAATATACTATATAGAAGAAACATATTTTACTCCAAATGAAGTTATAGATGGAAAGTCAAAGGATGGAAAAGAATTCTCTCTGCAACAGGAACACGGGCAGAGGCAGGTGTAGCTTTGCTCTTTGCACATGCTGTGTACTGCAAACCAAGGCTGATCAAAACAGATAAGAAGGTCACTATGTAGTTGTTAGAGGAAACTTTTGAGGGAAAGATAACAATCACAAATATATGTGCATCTATTTAAGGAGCATACAAGTATATTAGCCACTATTAATGAACAAAAAAAATCAATTAAGCAACACCACATTTGTAATGAGGGAACTTAGTAAACCATTGTCACAAACACGTAGATCAGATATACAAATTCAGCAAGGAATAACAAAACTGAATGAAATGGGATGGTTAGATTTAGTAGGCATATACTGATCATTCAAATCAAAAGCATCAGAAAACACACTCTTCTTAGCTGCTTTTCAGCTGCGTCAATCTCTTATCCGGACCATATACTAGCCTATAGAACATTCTTAAGTAAATGCAAATGAATTGAAACTACTCCATGCTTATTATATGATAACAGTG